GTTTTCCAGTTCCAGGCGGGGGTGGGACTGACCCTGCCCTTTTTTCCTTACCCTGGCAGAGGCCACGCCCCTAGGAAAGCGAGTGGAAAACAAGATCCGGGTGCCAGTGCGATACTGCATGTTGGGTAACCGTGACTCTGCCAGGTCAGACATTCCCATGTCCACCACACCACCTCCATTTTACATGAGCTCTTGCCAGGATGGAAGGCGGAGCTGGGTGGGGACAAGGCCTCAGATCCTCAGAGTTGGCTGTGGGGGCGGGGCTGAGGAGCCAGCCTAGGGCTTCCTGAAGCTGTGGGACCCTCCGTCTCCTACAGGAACCCCCATACCCTGGTGGAAGTAACATCCTTCACAGCCATCAACAAGTTCCAGCCGTTCAATGTGGCTATCTCCAGCAACGTGCTGTTCCTGCTGGTGTGTGCCCAGCTACTGTCTTGTTCCTTGTGGGTCAGGGGCTCCCAGATCTGGGCAGAGGGCTGGGGAGCTCTGGAGGTAGGGGGTCCCTGGAATGTCAGCCCGGTGTGGGTGGGGACTTTGCTCACAGCTGCTCAATGTTTGAAGGAGGAGGTGGGAGGGCTAGCCCCTGCCCATTTCAAGGGCCCTGGACTTCCAGGATGGAGTTGGGGCGGGTGCAGCCTAAGCGTGTCTTCTGATATCTCTTTCCCAGGACTTCCACAGCCACCTAACTCGCAGCGAGGTTGTGGGGTACCTGGGGGGCCGCTGGGACATCAACAGCCAGAGTGGGTATTTGGGGCCGAGTGGGCAGGGTGATATTGGGAGCCGGGTTGATGTCCACACTTTCTCCCCACTCTGTGCAGTGCTCACGGTGCTGAGAGCATTCCCCTGTCGCAGCCGGCTGGGGGACACTGATACTGCGGCCACTGTGGAAGAAGAGGTGAGGGGACACACTGATGGGCTGGGCGAACACAGCTGTCCTGGTTACTGTGTCCTGGCAGCAGCTAGCAAAGTCAATGTTCGAAAAATGTGCAAATGAGTGGGTGTGAACCTGTCCCCACCTGACACCTAGTAAGGGCCAGATAAATTTTTTTTTAAATATATCTTTATTGATTTCAGAGAGAGGAAAGGAGAGGGAGAGAGAGATAGAAACATCAATGATGAGAGAGTCATTGATTGAGCCCACAACCCGGGAATGTGCCCTGACCGGGAATCGAACCCCGATTGCCTGGATCCTAGGTCAACGCTCAACCGCTGAGCCACACCCGGCTGGACCAGATATATTTTTAACTGCCATTCTTAATAATGCTTTTGTCATAGTTCTTAGTATGTGCCTGGCACTGTGCCAAGCTCTATATCCACCTTCTTGTGGCCCCATCTGTGTCCCTGAGGGACAGGTGATTGGATGTTGATTCAGTGAGAACGATTCTTTTTCCACCCCTGCTTGCCTTCACTTGCTGAAGGCATCTGGGAATGCCCATGCCTGCTCAAATGCACACATAGCCACCTCTTTATTTATTGAGCATCTGCTGTGTGCCAGGCATTGTTCCATTAAGTTGGGGACACAGCAGGGAACAAAATTTTTTGCCTTTGCTTCATGACAGGTGCATCTTTTTTATGTATTTGTTGACCATCCCCCCACTGGACAGTTAGGGTGGGGGCAGGGTCTGTCTTGGTCACTGCTGTCCCCCCAGGCCTGGTACACAGCAGATACTCATTTTGTGTTGCCCTCACATGGGCCTGGATAGGTGCCAGGAGCACTGGCAACAGGGAGTGGCGGGAGCACACCTAGGCTGGTAGGGCCCCCAGCTCCCTGCCCACGCCAGCCCCGCCTCTACCCCCAGATCTACCAGAGCCTTCTCCTGCGGGGCCTGTCCCTGGTGGGCTGGTACCACAGCCACCCGCACAGCCCTGCGCTGCCATCACTGCAGGACATTGACACACAGATGGACTACCAGCTTCGGCTGCAAGGCTCCAGCAATGGCTTCCAGCCCTGCCTCGCCCTGCTCTGCTGTAAGTTCCCCTGTGGGAATAGGTGTGTGTGTCTCTCTCCTGGACCATGAGCTCCCCAGGCCCAGCCCCCTTTCACTCTCCTCCCGCAGCCCCTTACTACTCTGGCAACCCGGGCCCTGAGTCCAAGATCTCCCCCTTCTGGGTGATGCCACCCCCTGAGGTAGGCAGGGCTCCTGGGGGAGGCCAAGGGTCAACAGTCTGGGTGTGGGTCATGGGATGGGAGGCTTGGGGTGGCTGGTGGTGACTGGCTGGTGTCCCTGCCAGCAAAGGCCCAGTGACTACGGTATTCCCATGGACGTGGAGATGGCTTACGTCCAGGACAGCTTCCTGACTAATGATATACTTCATGAAATGGTGAGCTCAGTCCCAGGTGGGGTGGGTGCACTCCCCTAGGGGTAGGCAGGGGCTGAAAGCACCTAGCTGGATGTACAAGACAAGGTATAACTCAAGAAGTGTGGCTGAATACGCTATACCAGGGCCTTGGTCAGGTTCCTCTTCTGTAGATAATCACCTGTGGCTCTTAGGATCAAGTCCCAAGTCCTTGGGGTAGCCCTTCCCCCACCCACCTGCTCACCCACCAGGCCTCCTAGTTGTTCTGGAACACCCTAGGGATGCTTCTGCCTCGGGCCTCTGCACCTGCCACTGCTTCTCCAAGTGGAGACACATGGAGGACTTCAGGTGTTACCTAGATGGTTTATAACGCCTGTGGCTCAACAGGCATTTAAAAAACGGAGCTAGTTCATTACACCTGTGATTTCATGGGTATTATGAGAGTGAGCCTAAAGCAGGGAGCTATGTCAGGCCTGTGTGATATAAAGAATCACATTCAGCATGCCTCGCTTGGCCTCTGGGGGAGTTCCCTCTCCTCCTCCAAAATCCTCCTGCTGAGCTCCCTTCTGTCAACTCTACTGGGTGGCACTCCTCAGTGGTCTCTTTCTTGGTGAGCAGTACCGTCTACTTGTTGCATTAGCCTGGAAGCCTTCATGATAGGTAGCGGCGGCACCTGTCCTGCTCACTGCTGAATCCCCAGCGCCTGGTGTGGGGAGGCGGGAGCGAGGGGGTCCCAACCACCCCGTCCTGTAGATGCTGCTGGTGGAGTTCTACAAGGGCGCCCCTGACCTGGTGAGGTTCCAGGAGCCCTGGAACCAGGAGCACACCTACCTCGACAAACTAAAGGTAAGACTTCCACCCCAAGACCCGTGTGAACCCCTCCTGTAGGAAGACAGTTCTTGGGGAGACCCCAAGAATACATCCATGGGCAGCCTGAGAAAGTGATTTCCTAATTTGTTCTGTACAAAAGTATTTCAGCTGGAAATTAATGCTGGCAAAAAGCCTTGTTTTATCACGAGGGTGGGAGTGGGAATCACCATCAAAATGGGGATGAAAATGTTAAGTTTTGTAGACCCAAGGACCCTGGAGGGGGGCGCTGCTCTGGACCCTATTTTGTTCTGTGGCCACGCATGGAGGGTGTGCAGGGGACCTGGCCTGATTTAGAGCCTTAAGAGCAGCTGGTTTTATGAACGTGCACATTGGCCCCATAGGTAGTGGGACATTTAAATGAGGCTTTTGGTGGTTCCTGTGTGTGTCTATTTCCTGTTTGAAAGTCATTCTCAAAAGACACTCTCAACTCTGCTTTGCATAGAAACACAGTATAGAAACAGTTTCAGGCATTTGCTTGTTTTGCTCAAACTTTTATTTTTTTTGTTAATCCTGACCCGAGAACATTATTTCCATTGATTTTTAGAGAGTGGAAGGGAGGGAGGAAGGGTGGAGAGAGAGACAGAGACAGAGAGAGAGAAACAGAGAGAGAGAGAAACATCGATGTGAAAGACACACACCGATTGGTTGCCTCCCACACGCACCCGGACCCAGGGCTGCGGATTGGACCTGCAACCCAGGTATGTGCCCTTGACCAGGAATAGAACCTGAGACCCTTCATTGTACAGATCAATGCCCTAACCACTGAGACACACTGGCCATGGCTTTTCAAACATTTAAAGAAAACAGTAACCAGGGCTTAAAGTTTTTCCTAGTCACCTCCCACACAGGCACTGGGCTGTTGGGTGGGAGTGGCAATCTGCAGTCTTTGGAGACCCAGGAGCTGGGTGGCTCTCAGCAGGTGGTGAGTGTGGGATCCAGGCTAGAGGGACAATAGGATTTGGAAAGTGTAGATGACTCCCTCACTCCAAACAGTCAGCTGGGCCTTAAGTTACTCAACACCCCTTTTGTTAAAAAAAAAAAAAGCATTGCTTTAGGGACACCATTGTGTACCTTGGGTAGGTGAGCTCCTCTGCCAAGTGGCAGCATTGGGCCTTGGAGGGGGGGCAGGAGAGGGGGGCAAGGTCTGGAGAGGACTGCTGGGCAGAGTCCTGAGGCGCCAACCCTGCTTGTTTCAGATCTCCGTGGCCAGCAGGATGCCCAAAGACCAGGGCCTGTGCCATGTGCTGGAGCAGGTTTACAGCATCCTCAAGCAAGGGAACTGAGGATCGACCTTTGAGGACCTGGGAGGCCTCCTGGTCAGGCTCTGAGCACCCCGCCCCTCCGTGCAGCCCTGGGTGAGGGGGAACAGGTTGAGGGGCTTCATTTGCTACTGTGTTGCTCCGTTCCTGTGGGACTGAGCTGTTCGATGGCAGGGGCTCATATAATAAACAAAGGAGAGAAGCAAACAGCCCAGGCATGTCTCACCCTGAGATGGGGGTCCCCCCAGCACTTGTTGCTGGGCATGCAGGCTGCTGTCTGGGCAGTGGAGCAATCGTGCAGCCGTGTGTGTGGACAGTGCTGGGCCCAACCCCAGTCCTGTCCCTTTCTGGGGCTGTGGGGAGGGGAGTCTTGGGGGACATACCTCCTATGCTGGTGACTGGGTAAATGACAACCACCCTTCCTGGGCTTGCTGTGGGGCTGATGCCCACTGCTCTGGGTGGGGGTCTGGGAGTGGGCAGCCACATAGGCCCTGTCCTGACCAGAGACCCCTCAGGAGGGCTGTGGGTGTCCTGGTGAGCAGAAGGCCTGCCCTACACCACAACCAGGCAAGAGACTGTAGAAAGAGACGTTTAATACTTCTTTAAAAAAAATATCAGGATTACATTTCCATCTGCCCTAGACTTTGACCAAGGCTATGCTGCTTGTCTTGATCTGGATGCCTGTGTCTCTCCCACTCACGATGGTGAGGGGGGCGTTGGGGACGAGCAGAGCCTGGTGTCATGGGGGCTGTGCAGGGTCATCGGAAGAAGGGAATGTGAACCAGGCCCGAGGTCCCAGCACTGAGCGAATTTCAGATTAGACAAGAGGGGAAGCAGGTGCAGGGCTGGGGCCCTGCTGGTCTGGGGAGCTGCCTACCTTGGTCTGGAGGAGACAGCTGGGGGCACTGTCAACAGGGGGATGGCAGCCAGCTTGGGATGGGGAGGCCCTGTGACACTCCCCAGGATGGTCCAGCAGCCAGGGGCCTGGGAACACTCACTCATCAAAGCCTTTGTGCTTGACCTTCCGCAGAGAGGAAGCTGGAGGCTCCCATGGTCCCATGTGTTGCATGTCAGTGTGTGTGCGTGCGCATGGCTAGTGGTGGCAGCTTGTGTCAGAAACGTTCCATGTGCTTGGTTCCATGTGCAGGTGGGGACTGAGGGGTCCGGGGTAGGGTGATGGGCATGGGTGTTTGGGGCTCAGCACTCTGCAGCTGAGGAGAGGGCCTGTCCTTAGGGGACCTGGCATCTATGCCAGGAGGTGGCATCTATGGGTCTTCAGGGGCCTGAGGAGGAGTGTCTGGGGGGAATTTAAAAGCAGGGTGGTGAGCCAGCGTACGGGGTCCTATTTGGACCACCCCATCACACAGACTCAATCTGCTCACAGTAAGGGTGGGTCCCAGTGTGGAGGGAACGAAGGGTATGCGTGTGTTTTTGTGACTGAAGGGAACCCATCCAGTTACCAGTCCTGGAGGGGATGGAAGGAAGTTAGTGTTTCTAAGAGCACCTTAGTGTTAGCCCCCCTCAGGGCAGTGGAGCCCGGACGGCTGCATGGAGTGGGGAGGGGAGCCACCACCACCACTATGAGTGAGCACTAGTGTAAACAGGGCCCCTTGCCTCCCTGGCTGGCCCTGCTGCCTTGAGTCCCTGGTGCCCCAGGAATACCGAGGGAGGCCCTGGGAGGAGCACTACCCTTGCTGTGCTTCGAGCCAAGTGGAATACAGGTGATCTGGACAGAGGGGCGGGCAGGCCGACGCTGTCACTGAGGCAGGGGCACCAGCACCTCCACATAGCTGAGGGGAAAGAAGCCCGACTGGCCATGGAGCATGCCCTCGTACCAATTCTCGTCGATCTGGTTGGTCAGTGTGATGATGTCGCCCTCGTGGAAGCCCAGCTCCCCATCATTCTCGGGCTCAAAGTCGTACAATGCCTTGCAGCTTGGCTGGTCCAGGGGTGCTGGGGGTGGGTAGGAGATGGGTGATAAGGTCTGGGCATCCAGCTCAGACCCCACCTGCTCCTGCTGCCTTGCTATGCCTGTTTCCCCTAAGGAGAGCCGCTCCTTTCTCTTGCTTCTCAGGGTTGTTGGGAATAAGGAGCAAGTGACACAAAGGATGGAAAGGGTTTTGTGAGTGGTTACCACAATGCTCCTGGGAGGAGCTGGGGTGCACAGTGGCATTAGGATGACAGGATGACCAGAGCCTGCTGCCCTAGGGTGTCGCTCAGAGAGCTGAGAGCCAGTGGGTGCCCTGGATGCTCATAGCAGCCCCTGTTTCTCATGGGGAGGCTGAGGCCCACAGGCAGGTACCTACTGCCTGGCACCCACCTCCTTCCCAGCTTGAGGGTCTGAGAGGACCAACCACAGCAGGTGTGCATTTCTACCAGAGAAGGGGAGTCAGAAAGACCCTTCCAGAACAGACTGGAAGGCACTGATAAACTGAGGCAGGGGACACTCACGCATGCTCCTGCTGGGGGTCCGAATGGGCTTGTCGGAAGATCGGAAAGATGACGAAGCTGCTTGCAAACAAAACACAGAGGTGGGCTGAGAGTGCTGGGTGGGGCCTGGGTCCCATCTCTGGGGTGGGGGCCCCTTTTGCAGAGCGTGAGTGGGTGGGCGGAGAGGTACCTGGCCCTACTATTTAGATGGGGCAGCGGGGCTGGGACTACCTCAGAAGGGGGCCTGTCTCTGAGGTCCTGGGAGAGCATGGCCCCCTCCCAAACCTTACCTGTGATCTTGGGGGCTGGGGTGCAGGGGAAGCCCCCATTGGACTGCTCAGGCTCTCCGAGGTCAAAGGGCTCCCGGGGCTTGGGCTTATATTCCCGCTTGGGGCGCGAAGAGGCTTCCCGCATCCTGCAAGTGAAGGGGTAGGTGTGGGCAGCCACAGAGCCTGTGTCATGAGCCAGGGTGTCAAGGCCACAGAACAGCACCCCCTCCCCAGCTGTTTATGCTGCTGCCACATAGGCAGTGGGGCCCTGGGAAGGCTGTGAGGTAGACACAACACACAAGGGAATCCTGGGGGACTCGAACAGACTCGAGCAATTTTCAGGTTGCCAATCGGCTGGGTCCTGCTGAAGCCCCCTTGGCCCCACTGGGGAAACACTGCCAATCAAGGAGACTGGCAGTGGAGAAGGGTTCCTGGGGTCATCCCTGGTTAAGCTGCTTCCTGTCCACCTCAGGCTGTCTCCCATCCCCAGGCCACTCCAAAACTCTCCTTCAGGGGTCAGGACAAGCCTGAGGAGGACCTGCTCCCTTGTGGAACCCCCATTCTCACCCTCACAGTCAAAATTATGAAAAGCCAGCTGCCAGGCCCTGGACATGGCTGGGTTGTCAGGGGGAAGTGTGTAGGGAATCTCAGCGGCCAGCCCAGGAATCCACAACAGGGACTCCAGGTTTCCAGGGACCCCACAGCCTGTAGGTCTTTCCTGGCCAGCAGAGAGTGGGAAGGGGCTTACCTTCGCTTAAGCTTGTTGGCCAGCTCGTCCAGGATCTGCACAGCCTGCCGGTGGTATTCCAGCTGGGCGTCCACCAGGGCAGAGAGCTGGCTCACCTGCTCAATCTGCAAGCAACCAGCCAGGGCTGAAGAGGGAGCTGCCCTCTAACCCCATCTCTAGGTCACTTCCTGCAAGGAGCCTTCCCAGACTGATCCAGGCACTGGGGCCCAGCTGACCTTTGAGCTGCAGCTGGAGAAGGGTGAAGGGCCCAGAGACCCAAAGCCTCAAGGTGCCAATTGCTGCCCACCTCTGGTCTTTGTTCCCCCTTCATTTTCTTCACCTTCTCAACTGGCACGGAACCCTTAGAAGCTGACACCCCCACAAGGCTCGTTTTAGGGGCTTCCCAAGGGTGGACCTGGGCCCATGGACGTACGTCAGTCTCCAGGAGGTTGTGCATGCTGGTCTCGGCCACCTCCTTGGACTCTTCAAACTTCTCTAGGGCCTGGCGCAGCTCTTCATCGGGGATCTTACCCTGCCGCTTCTTCTTATAGTCGAAGTCAAGGCGGCGGCCCTCCAGCTTCTTCAGGTGGTGCTGGGGACAGGGATGAGGTTCACACTGCAGGGCACCTCAATGACCTGCAGCCCTTTTCACTGCAAGTATGCAGGAAGGTGGGCCAAGCTGAGGCCCAGGATGGGAAGAGGCTCACTGTCTGAGTGAGGGATCCCTGAGGGCTATACTGGGGGGTGGGAGGGGCAGGCCATCAAGGTGTACCTGGATCTCCTTCAGGTCTTTGTCGCACAGGTTCTGGAGGGGATCGATGAAGTTCTGCTTCACCTCTATATCCAGGGAGTCCTTCACCTCAGCCAGGCACTTCATGGACTCCCCTGCATCCAGCAGGGCGTCACCTAGGGGAGGGGAGGGGAGGGGAAAGGAAGAAGCAATCACAGGATGCCTTGGCCTGTGGGGCAAGACACCCCCAACTTGTAATTTGACCCCATGGCCCAGGACCCGGACCAGAATTCAGAGCAACAGACCATAAAATCTGGACCTGAGCCAGTCGCCTGGGGCTGGTAATAACAGGTATCAAACAATCTGCCCTTCCACTCTTAGATGGGACCAGATTTGCCCTGAATGAGCCATGGTGTGAGGGGGAGGCCCTTCCTCAGCCTTAACACTGCATGCAGTGCTGGGATTCTCCCTCACCCCTGGGGTGTATGTGTGTACAGAGGTGCTCTCTCAGGAGCTTCAGTTGCCCTCATCCAGGGACCAGCGAGCCCTAGAGAAGATTCTGGAGCTATGGGAGGGAAGTGCCCTCCTGCTCACCAGTATGGAGAAGCTCTGGCCTTCCCTCCCTCAACCTGGCCGTCTGCCCATGCAACCCTGCTGAGGCCTGAGGCCTGAGGCTTTCGTGGTGGCCCTCACCAAAGTTGGACTCGCCACCCAGCTCCTTCCCATGACGAATCATGCACTCGCCCAGCAGGCCCTCCGACTGCGGGTAGCCAGGATTCTTCACCTGCCCACGGATCTTGGATACTGTGTTGAGCATCGTCAGCTTGGCCCGTGAGGCTGGAACAGAATGGGCCAAGGAGGTATGTGGGTGGTCTCTCCAGGAACCACCAGGCCTGTGCTTGGTCAGTGCTTGGCCAGTGCTGCTAGCTGCCTCCCTCTGCCCTGGGTGCTCCCCCTCTCCCCCAAGGCCCACGTATTTATCTCTAAAGTACTCCCTTGGTTCAAGGCACCTTGGTTGCCATGCCTGTTGCTGACCAGGACATGAGGAGAACCCCAAAGCAGACTTGCCCTCCTCTGTTCTTCTTGGCCACAAACGATCATGGGCAGTGGGGAGGGGAGGTGATTGGCTCCTCAGGAGCCCCCAGGGCCTCCTCATCCTGGAGCATGGCTCTGACTGAGACCCTCCCCTCAATGGCTTGGTGGAACAGCACCCTAGAGAAGTGGTGGTGGTGGGCAGGTACAAGCGTCTCAGACATGGATATCCACCTGAGTTGGGGGAGGAGCTGTGCTTATACCTCTGCCCACTTAGATCTGTCCCTGGAATAGGCCTTGAATGGAGACACCTGGGTGTGCTACCTGTCTCACATCCACTGCCTCCCGCTATGCAAACTAGCATTTGGATTTTCCTTGAGGGAACATCCCCACTTACCTCTCATCCTAGGAGACCCCACTTCATGCTCTAAAGGCGGGCATGTGGCTGGGACCTGACAAACTAGGGTAAGCACCCATTTCAAATTAGTCCAATGAATTGGCTGGGGGTAAGGGGAAAATGCTCTTTTCTGCTGGGACTATTAACTGCAAAGGTGATTTGAGGCTAGAATTGACACAAGGAATGAAAACTGCTAGATGAAGCAGAAAAAAAATGCATGGCCCCAAGGACATCCTTTAGATCCCTGGATCCAGCCATGCCTAAAACCCACCTACCCCATGACATTTCAGTTTTGTGATCCCTTACATTCCTCCTTTATGCTGTGGTAACCGGAAGAACTTGCAGCTAGCTGGTGCCCTACCTGGGTTGGGCTGCAGGTATTCGATGGTTCTGGCCAGCACTTCCACCACAGCCTTGCTGGTAACATCCACCTTCTGTAAAAAGAGGCAGCATGTGTGGTTTCAAAATCACCGGGGTGCCCAAGGCCAAACCAGGGGCCCCTGGATAGCCCTTGCCCTGCTCCCCAGTCCCTGCCTGCCTTAGAACCCACATAAGAACCATCCTCTGCTGTGAGGGCTGCCTGGCCTCCCTGTTGTTCATTATACTGTGTCCCCATTGTTGCCTGCCCAGGGCTGAGGGATGCCTGATACCTATCTAACCCATCCTGATAAGCCTCATCCCCCTACCCACCCCAGATGTTGAAGCTGGGCCTTATGAGAGACTCAGTAAATGGTGCCAGACATTAGACAGGGCACATCACTCTTCCCATTACCTTCTCCATCTCTTTGAAGTCATCGTCAAGCTTGGTCCCTTCAGCCCCTCCGACCTTCTCACTGACCAGCTGGGGAACAGAAGGAGATAAAAGAGTAAGTCTCAGAAGAGGAGGCCTAGGATGCCTTCCGGCCATGCCACATCCACTGCTGGTGGGAGGTCGAGGGGTCAAGACATGCATGACTTCCCAGGGATGCTAAACACAGAAGCCAATGGCAAGATGGGTGGTTGACCACCCGGGCTCCAAATCTACACAATCCTTCAATGAGGGTGGGGGCATCTTCTCGTGGTATGAATCTCAGGAACCACTAGGTATGGCACAACCCTCAAAATGCACCCTCTGGAGGGCTCTTGAAAGGTGAGCAGGTCTGGGGTGAAGAGGAGATCCCATGGCTGAGTGGACAGTAAAGTGCCATGTTTGAAAAAAGCTGAGAGGGAAGAGACTTGCCCTGCTAGGGCCAAATGTTATGGTGCCTGGAAGGTATTTCTCATGCACATGTGTGTGCATGCACACACATCTGAACAGCAGCCTGACATGTTTAATTATATGCAACCCAAAACAGCAGAGTGTGACATGTTTACTCAGATACTCATCCTGGCTGGTGTAGTTCAGTGGTTAGAGCATCAGCCTACACATTGAAGGGTCTTGGGTTCAATTCCCAATCAAGGGCATGTACCTGGGCTACAGGTTTGATCCCTGGCCATGCTTGGCGCATGCAAGAGGCAACCAACCAATGTTTCTCTCTCTCTCACATCAATGTTTCTTGCACCCACTCTCCTTCCATTCTCATGAAAAATCAATGAAAAAATATCCTCGGATGAAGATTAGAAAAAAAAAAACAGACACTCATGCATGCATGGCACATACACAGACACACTCCATTTCCTGATGGCTGGCAGCAGCTTCCGCCCACACATGAAAACCCCTCCTGGGGCTCCTGAGGACATCCAGCAGCTGCCAGCCTGCAGGAGCAGCCAGATCACTGGCATGCAAGGACAGGTCTGCGACCTTCTACCTGTGTAGTCATGGATAATCGGCTTCACTGGGACTCAGTTTTTCCCTTTGTAAAACGGGCTGACAAGTATGCACTCACAGGGCCATAACCTGGCATCTGTGGCCGGCTGATGGGTGTGTGCTCAGGAGCGTGCCTGGGCTACAATAAGCACTGGGTACCCACACTGCTCACAACTCCGACCACTATTACTTTCCTCAAGTGTCTTGTCCCTCCATGGGGACTGAGCAGAACTCCAGGGCAGGCCTAGCCTGTCTGTATTTAGCTGCCCACCCCCCACCCCCACACACTTGGAGTCAAAAGGAAAGTCAGTGGTTCTCAACTTGGCTGTACCCAGGGAGTCTACGAGGAAACTGGGCAGGTGAAAGAGGAGAGCACTGCAGTTGGGAGGGGGCAAGAAGGAAGTGAGGCTGGCCCAGAGACTGTCACCACTTGGACCTGCTGGGCTATGCTTTGCAGTGCACACTATCCTTTAGGGCACCTCACAGAAGAGGCAAGGGCTATCCTTCAGCTTCTGCCAATGACTTCAAAAGGAAAAGACCCTGTCTGTCCTAGGTGTTTTGGAGGCATTCCACTTTATTTCATGGGACAGTTTCACTTCTTTTGATTATGGGAAAATAGGGCGTTCTCAAATTCGGTGGTTGCCAGAGAGGGAAGTGAGTTAGCTGCCTGACGCGAGACACTCTTCTGGTGTATTGGGAGGGGAGCTGAAGCACTGGTGCTTAAAACCACACCTTCCGGACTGAGGGCACCAGGGCCAGACAGCCTGCTCAGTGCAGGGCACTGAAGAGAGCAGCTTACCACCTCTCCTGGGAATCTGGGACTTACCTTTCCCAAGCCCTCTGAACAGCTCCTCTGGTCCCCCACTCAGGGTCAGATTTACATGGCCATCCTTGCACTCAGGTATCTGGGAGGCCTTGGAGGAACTACTAGGCTCCTACCAATATCCCCACCCCATCTGAGAGCTCTGAGCTCAAGTCCCTAGGTGGCAGTTGATTGTCCCCCATGTCCCTGCTCTCCAAGGCTCAGTCTTAGAACCAGCACAAATGGATGAGATAACAAGAGGTCAAAAGGAAAAGTGGGAAAACCAAAGAAGCCACACGCCAACCCAGCAACAGCAACAAAGAACGGGTACAGTGCCGAGTGTGGGGCTGTTACCTCCTCTCCAGCAGGGATGTGACCTTTGGTGGTATGTGGCAAGTAAGGCCTCCTGGGCTCCACCTGGCTAAGTCAGAGCCTGAGTCACCAGTAGTGAGTCCCACAATGGTTGCCATTGTAAAATCCATGCCATCGCCAACACAGGGCCCACCCTAAGCCAGAACATCCTCCCAGACTGTGCCCCAGTTCAGGTGCCAGCCTGGGCCCTGTGGAACCTACCTTCTACAAAGGCACTGGGAGGCTGGGACGGCCCAAGGCTGAGAAGTCACTGTGGGAGAGGCTGCCACTCAAGTCAGACATGGCAGTGACCTCTTGCCCACTGGACTATTCTTGGGTCTTTGCAAGACTGGCTCCTAATCTCTCAGATTCCAGTCCCAGCCAGCCCTGACTCTGCTCTCCTCTGCCCCACCTGCCCGATGCTGGCTGCATGCCACATTTCACTTTCCACCTGGAACTATCTGTTCATTTTTCTGTCTAGCACCTAATGTAAGCCCGGGAGGAGAGGTCATACCTGCCTGGTTGGTGGCTGTATTTCTCCTGTGCTGGCACAGTGTGGGCCTCAGGCAAGCACTGTGACTGTGCTCCACAAAGGGCCTAGAGCGGGGTCTACCAGGTGATACCCAGTGCTACTCTGTTACACCCTGAGCATTCGCCTGCCTGTGCCTGTCTCTTTTTAAATGGCTTTATCTTTATTAAATGACCTAATTACATGACATGAGCACACACCTTGATGAGTTTCAGTGACGGCACCTCCAGAATGGTAGGAAGTTCCCTCAGGCTGTCCACAGTCAACCCTGTTCCCACAGGAAACCTCTGCCTTGCTGTCTCTCTCTCTAGAGGTACCTTTCCTGGAAATTGCCAGATGGACTCACATCATATGTTAGTATTTTTAACTTCTGGGAAGAGCATACCCTGCTCCCAACCCAGGCTGCAGACCCTTCCAGGGCAGGATGGTGTCCACAGTTCCATGTTCTCCTAAGTTCAAACTGTGTTTAGACTATACAGGTGGTTACTGCCAGTGAGAGAGTAAAAGACACCCCCAGTCCTGTTCACGTTCCCAAATGCCTGACCCACTCAGGCTGCTCTCCCAGGAACCCCCAGGCCTTATTCCACCTGGACTCTGAATGGTCATATTTACAACAACAAGCCCACAAGTGACTTCGAAGGACAGACCTATTCAGGCCTATTTCAGGCTCTTGCACTGTCTGACAATGAAGCCTGTGAACCAGGCACCTGGGAAGTGAGCAGGCCTGGATCAGAGGTGGGGACTCACCCCACAGCACCTATGTGATTCCTGTTCTCATACTGGCTCATGGGCACTTACAATAAAAATCAATTGGAGAAGGGGGCTATTCTTTCAAAGACTGGTGTGCTTCAGTGTTCTAGATCTTTGTCTGTCTTTGGAGAGGAGCAAGGACATAGACACGCAGGAGAGAAAGAGAGAATATGCAGAACAGTCCACAAAAGGGACTGAGAAGATGCTGCACGCTAAGACCCGTCAGGGCAGCCATTGGAGGAGTGAAGCAGTAAACAAAGGCAGGAGAAGCTTTTACCCAGGAGTGCTGGATGACGGCTGCCCCTCACTGGACAGGCACATCTGTGGTGGCCACTACCAAGTGGCAGCTAGAGGAGCAATTTGAATCCTGCCAAGTGGATGATGGCGGCAACTGCATGCCTCATAATTGAGTCATCTCAGCAGGAAAACCTGATCAATACAACCCGGAAATAAAGTGGCCAATATGTTGGCTCTGTGACCTGGGCAGACAGTTCACTTTGATGAATTAAGAGTTTAAGAAAAAAAATAAGAGGAGAGGGAGGAGGGAGCTGGCATGGAGGAGGGGGAAGGAAGATTGCTCAGGGCCTTGCTGTCCAGAATGGGTGTTCCACGTTTCCTGCTCAGTGTCCTCACGCCTCATTCAGACATCATGCTCTGGGTGGCCATATGTATTACTTCATGACCAGGTAACACCCGGGCCTCCTGTTCTCTCCTGACCTGGGCCAGAGTCTAAGGGCAGGCTTCCCCTCCTGCCTGTGCCTGGCTGTCCTCTCCCTGCCTATGAGTGCACAAGAGTGACACTTTCCACCCTGGGCTATGGAGAAGCCCCTTCACCAGCCAGAAACAATATGCATGGAGACAGTGGCCCGGAACTGAGACAGCCCTGAGGGTCCAGCCCAGCCACCTTCCTGTGGCCCTGAAAGAGCCAACATCAGGTGTGGGCCAGTGACTGGCTCTCCTTCCGGAGGCAATGGGACTTGGCCCTCAGGTGTGAGCACTTCTGGCTCCAATTAGTGACTGCTCTCAAGAGTAGGGGAGAGGGTCAGCAGTCCAGTGCTAGCCAACAACCATGTAACGTGATGAACCGTGTCTGGAGCGGGAGAGGGGTATGGAAGGCCTGAGAGAGTGTCTTGGCCTTGAGGAGCATCCCTCTGGTGAGGGAGACAAGAACGTCAGAACAAAACATGACAAGAGCTGCAAAGAGATGTAAACAGGCCAACATGGCAGAGGGATGTGCTAATGGCTGGATGGGCCATACAGACCAGTGCTATCCACACTGGACCTCAAATGAAAGGCAGGGTCCCAAAAGGCAGAGCCTGGCCAGGCTGGCAGAGGGTATCCTGGGTGAGATGCAAGTTCAGGGGCACAAAGGCCGCCATTTCTGGTCCACCACATAATCATGATCCTGTATGATGATGTTGAGTGCCACATTCACTCAATGACGATGCAAGGACCAACACAACCATTTTAAAGATGAGGAAACTGAGGGATGAGAGATGAAAGAATTTAAAGGCTGTGCAGCTGTAAATGGAGGAGCTGGGAGCTGCACCCAGACCTGCCAGACTGGACAGTCCATCATGTGCCCCGCCCTGAACTGGAAAACTGGTCAATGATGGAATGGGGTGAAGCCTGGGGACTGCACAGGGCCTGGCCGGAAGTATGTGGGGCGTCTAAGGGCCGCACCCCCATGTGCAGAGTGCTGGACTTGGGAGGCCCCAAGAGGCCACTGTGATGATCCTGGGCAGGGCTAAGAAATTCCTGAGTTGTGATGCCGACAAAGGGATGGGAAGGGAGGGAGGGAGGACTTGTTCGCCTCTAAATCCAACTGTGACTCCCCTCCCTTCTGGCCTCCTAACATCTGAAGAGATGTGTGCCAAGTAACTCTGAGCAACCTCTCTGGTTTCCATTACAGTCTCTTGTCTCGTGACTCAGAGAGTCCACGACATGGGCAGGGCCCCAACTGGTCTATTGCCAGGCTGACACATGATGCCACTGGCCTTCTCAGTCTCCTTTATCTGCTTGCACTCCTGGACCCCCAACTTGGAAACACTGGCTGAGACACAAGATGGTGTGCTCTTTGGCTAACCAGACTCCTACTGCAAAGCTGAGCCGAGCATGCTTCTTGGGGAGGTAATATGCACAGTGCACTGGCTGCCCTGAAGTCTCCTGTTCTCGATGTGTCTGTCTGTCCCTGCCTGGAAAA